CTCACAGACCCCCACCCCCCCACCACAGACCACATTAGCAACTTACCGGCTCGGATGTGTCCAGTTTATGTATTGCTTTGGAGTCAAAGAGAACCTGGCGCCCTCTTCTCTCACAGTCTTGATACACTATCAACCTGATCTGAGCTAGATCAAACTCAGCAGATGCCCAACTAAAAGAGAGAGAAACACAGGTCACTGTGATCAAAACATTCAAAAAGAGAGAACAATACTTACTCTACAACATCTATTGTCAACAACAACAACATTTGAGCCAAAAATAGGTTTCTGACCCTTTCAAAATGACTAACTTTCAATTATTCAACAAATAAAATAAGCAAAATATTGGAAATTCACCCTTTATTTATCCGAATTTTCAGAATTTTCAGTAAATTAGAGCTATCGATTAAATTTGGAGTGGGTAACATTTTTTGATGTTTGATTAAAAATATTAAAAATGAGTTAAAACAGTAATATTTGGAAATATTATTATATTTTAAAATAACCGTTTACTATTTTAATATATTGTAAAATGTAATTTATTCCTGTGACGCAAATCATAATTTTCAGCATCATTACTCCAGTCTTCAGTGTCACATGATCCTCCAGAAATCATTCTAATATGCCGATTTGCTGCTCAAGAAACATTTCTGATTAGTATTAATGTTGTCGCTTAATATTTTTTGTGGAAACTGTGATATATTTTTTTCTGGATTCAATGATTAATAGAAAGTTTTGTTTAAAATAGAAATTTTGTGTAAAAGTCTTTACCGTCACTTTTGATCAACTGAATGCATCCTTTCTGAAAAAAAAGTATTATTATTTTAAAATCTTACAGATCCCAAACTTTTGAACTGTAGTGTACATTTTTGGGCTTTTCCTCACACAAAACTATTTTATGGCTTCGGAACACTTGGAATATAGCGCATGACTCGTTTGGACTATATTTATAGTGCTATATTTGTCATTTCTGAGCTTGGCACTCTAATGATGGGATCCATTTTATTTTATTTATTTATTTTTTTGCATGTGTTAAGAACAATAGAATATATCCTACGTCATCCACCTTCCAGAAAAAAGTCTGATTTCCCAAGACATGACCCCCTTAAAACATCCTTAACATGAAAAGTGTATAATAAAAACATTTCTAAATTATACCAAAACTTCATATTCAATCAAACCTCAGTAAACAGTAATATCAATCCAAGATACAACACACCCACACCCACACCCACCCACACACACTCTCATGAGTGTTAAATGCTTTGACCCAGTTAGCTGAGCAGTCACACCTGTCATGAGATCCAAACAAGCTGGATTAGAGCATGTGACTCCTCCCAAAACAGTGCTCACAGACCCCCACCCCCCCACCACAGACCACATTAGCAACTTACCGGCTCGGATGTGTCCAGTTTATGTATTGCTTTGGAGTCAAAGAGAACCTGGCGCCCTCTTCTCTCACAGTCTTGATACACTATCAACCTGATCTGAGCTAGATCAAACTCAGCAGATGCCCAACTAAAAGAGAGAGAAACACAGGTCACTGTGATCAAAACATTCAAAAAGAGAGAACAATACTTACTCTACAACATCTATTGTCAACAACAACAACATTTGAGCCAAAAATAGGTTTCTGACCCTTTCAAAATGACTAACTTTCAATTATTCAACAAATAAAATAAGCAAAATATTGGAAATTCACCCTTTATTTATCCTCAACCTGCGAATTTTCAGTAAATTAGAGCTATCGATTAAATTTGGAGTGGGTAACATTTTTTGATGTTTGAGTCTCTTGATTAAAAATGAGTTAAAACAGTAATATTTGGAAATATTATTATATTTTAAAATAACCGTTTACTATTTTAATATATTGTAAAATGTAATTTATTCCTGTGACGCAAATCATAATTTTCAGCATCATTACTCCAGTCTTCAGTGTCACATGATCCTCCAGAAATCATTCTAATATGCCGATTTGCTGCTCAAGAAACATTTCTGATTATTATTAATGTTGTCGCTTAATATTTTTTGTGGAAACTGTGATATATTTTTTTCTGGATTCAATGATTAATAGAAAGTTTTGTTTAAAATAGAAATTTTGTGTAAAAGTCTTTACCGTCACTTTTGATCAACTGAATGCATCCTTTCTGAAAAAAAAGTATTATTATTTTAAAATCTTACAGATCCCAAACTTTTGAACTGTAGTGTACATTTTTGGGCTTTTCCTCACACAAAACTATTTTATGGCTTCGGAACACTTGGAATATAGCGCATGACTCGTTTGGACTATATTTATAGTGCTATATTTGTCATTTCTGAGCTTGGCACTCCCTGTTCGTCATTCACTGACACTGCATGTAAAAGAGAAGCATGAACATTCTTCAAAATATATTTTTTGTGTTGCATAGAAAGAAAATCTGGAAGGACATGCGAGCGAGTAAATAATGACAGCTTTCATCAAACCCATAAAACTGCAAGAACTTTCAATGAAGCAAGAAATATTTAATTGCACCATACGTAATAAGCAAAAACACATTTTCTTCACACACATACACACCCCTACCTGCTTTCCATCCTGGTGTATGATAAAGTGATCAGACATTAATTTCCAGCCTCCAAGCACTACATATACATCCAAAATAGATATAAATAACAATCACAAGATGCCCGAAACTGGCCAAGAGAGCGGCTGAAGGCACGAAAAGTGGACCATTCACACAGTTGCATGTTTCTTCTATTAAACATCAGAAGATCACCATAGTCTAACGACGGAAAACACAGGCACACAGTCTCCATCTCCGCTTGTCTGAGCTCTGAGTGCACAAGTCACACAAAACCTCACACACACACGGTGTCGGCAGCACCCCTTCTCTCTGACTGCGTAGATGATGCAGTGTGTTTGTTTTATCAGTGTCGATGTGTGAGTTGGCAATCACTATGTGTCTGCTTGCGTCGAGTGTACAAACTTTGTATATGGACTGCTTAGTGTTAGTGTGTGTTAGATTATATGTTGCTCAGTCTTTTGTAACCCAGCTGCTGGACAATACATTGCTATGCACAGGCTCCCTTTATCCTTCACACACACACTCACACACACAGAGGGCAACCAAACCCTTACAGAAACCAGTTTACATTATATTTGTTTCACTATATTTGTGAGGACATTTTCAAACATTTGTCCCTCATATGTGTAGCCAAATTTGTACACACACACACACACACCTAACTAACAGTGATTCCGTTTTAAAAAGCAAAGAACAACTCTTAATGAATTAGCCTCTGCACAAGTCACACAAAACCTCACACACACACACACACACACACACACACGGTGTCGGCAGCACCCCTTCTCTCTGACTGCGTAGATGATGCAGTGTGTTTGTTTTATCAGTGTTGATGTGCGAGTTGGCAATCACTATGTGTCTGCTTGCGTCGAGTGTACAGACTTTGTATATGGACTGCTTAGTGTTAGTGTGAGTGTGTGTTAGACTATATGTTGCTCAGTCTTTTCTAACCCAGCTGCTGGACAATACATTGCTATGCACAGGCTCCCTTTATCCTTCACACACACACACACACACACAGAGGGCACAGGCTCTCTTTATCCTCTCTTACTGAGACTTTGCGTGAGTGTGTGTGTGCCAGTATATAAGAGCCTCTCTTACTGAGACTTTGCGTGAGTGTGTGTGTGCCAGTATATAAGAGAGAGACAGAGGGATGGAGGGAAAGAGAGAGAGAGAAAAACACTTGCTTGGGATGGTACTGCCACTACAGTTTAAATTGTTATAAAAATGAATAAATAAAATATATGTAATATATCAAATAAATGTTCTTTTAAACTTTCTTTTCAAAGATGCCTAAAAAAGTTTCACTGTTTCCAAAAATATACTAAGCAGCACAGCTGTTTTTAACATAAGTAATAACAAAATTATTCTTGACCACCAAATCAGCATATTAGCATGGTTTCTGAACAATCACGTGACACTGAAGACTGAACCCCAAACCTTTGAATAATAGTGTTCTTTTTGCTATATCTCTGAACAAATGAGTTGAAAATGCCATCAAGCCATCATAAAGAAAAAAGTTTGGACTACTAAAATGTTTTAACATTTTCACTTGATTATCTTTATCTAACCTACAGGTCAAAACAGTATTTAAACTAAATATTTGAGCAAATAATGCTAATACAAACATGAGAAATTGTATGAAAGTGTTTGCAACCGCAAAATTCCACCATAAGACACAATTCAATAGCAATACACACGCGCACACTGTTATTCTGTCTCTCTCTTTGTTACAAAAGCTGAAGAGCTGAATAAACAGACCAATCATGTGACAACTTACTGACAATAAATCACACTCTGTTCAGAGAGCCAGAGACATTCAATAACAACTGTCTAGATGGATGAGTATAGATGGGTTGACATAAAAAAAAATCAGCTTTGATTTCATATTTCTACAGTGAAAATATATTAAGCATATTGTGAAGAAAATACAGTTTCCACAAAAAAACAATTTGAGTAAATAATTTTGCCAAAAAGTCATAACTTGATTTGTTTTTGACCATTTTCCTTCGCATGTGAACTGAGAACCATTTTCTTTGTTAATAGCCTTTTTGCAAAATCTTGTGACACTATCATAAAACAAGCTGTGCAGAAACCATTAAAGTCAAACCGTTGTGATCACTGACTTAAAAAAACTTCAGCTGAACATTCCTAATGATGGGATTCTTCAGAAGGGCATGCAGAGCTGCAGGTGCTACACAGTCAGGAACAATTCAAGGTTTTCCACATTTTATTCTTATTATAGGTTCTTATTATAGAATCTGTCCTATGTCTTCCTTATTACCTCACTGTGACTGAATTGCTGTCTGATTTCTGAAAGAAAATTCTGAAGACATGACCCCCTTAAAACGCCCTTAACATGAAAAGTTTATATATATACTTTATATTTATATATATATACACTTGTTTATATGTTTATATATATAAGTTTATATTGGATTGGTAAACAGTACCAATCCAAGATACAACCCACACACACGAGTGTTAAACGCTTTGACCCAGTTAGCTGAGCAGTCACACCTGTCATGAGATCCAAGCAAGCTGGATTACAGAGCATGTGACTCCTCCCAAAACAGTGCTCATAGACCCCCCCCCCACACACACACCACATTAGCAACTTACCGGCTCAGATGCATCCAGTTTATGTATTGCTTTGGAGTCAAAGAGAACCTGGCGCCCTCTTCTCTCACAGTCTTGATACACGATCAATCGGATCTGAGCTAGATCAAACTCAGAGGATGCCCAACTAAAAAAGAGAGAAACACAGGTCACTGTGATCAAAACATTCAAAAAGAGAAAATAATACTTACTCTACAACTTCTAGACTGTCACAAAAAAACAAACTATAAGCCAAAAAACAGGCTTCTGGTTATTTGAAAATGATTTTAACTTCCAATTCTATAACAAATAAAATAAGCGGCAAAAAAAATCAACTGGAAATAGTTCACTTGAAACATTCTGTCATTCACCCTCATGCTATTCCAGTGAATATTCAGTGAAGTACATCTTACACTACCATTCAAGTTTGGGGGTGGTAAGATTTTTAATTAATTTTGAAAGGTGTCACTCAATCAAAAAAGACACATTGAATATATGTTAAAATGTAATTTATTCCTATGATGGCAAAGCTGAATTTTTAGCAGTCGTTACTCTAGTCTTCAGTGTCATGATCCTTCAGAAATCATTCTGATATGCTTTTCTCTCATTTTCTGCTCAAGAAACATTTCTTATTATTATCAATGTTGCTGCCTAATATTTTTGTGGAAACTGTGATAAAAAAATTTTTTGATTCTATGATTAATAGAAAGTTTAAAACAACAGCTTTCATTTGAAATAGAAAGTTTGTGTTAAAGTCTTTATCATCACTTTTGGTCAATTTAATCCATCCTTGCTGAAAAAAAAAGTGTTGATTTCTTTTCTTTCTTTCTTTTTCTTACTGACCCCAAACTTTTGAACGGTAGTGTACATTTTGTTTTTTTCATCACACAAAACTATTGTAGGGCTTCGGAACACTTGGAATATAGCACATGACTCCTTTGGACTATATTTATAGTGCTATATTTGTCATTTCTGAGCTTGGCACTCCCTGTTCATCATTCACTGACATTGCATGTAAAAGAGAACCATGAACATTCTTCAAAATTTCTTTTTTGTGTTGCACAGAAAGAAAATTTGGAAGGACATGAGCATGAGTAAACAATGACACCTTTCATTTTTGGGCGAACTATTCCTTTCATCAAAACCACAAAGCTGCAAAAACTTTCAATAAAGCAATACACATATAATTGCACCATTGCAAAAATAAATTTTCTTCTCACAAATAGACATACCCTACCTGCTTTCCATCCTGGTGTATGATAAAGTGATCAGACATTAATTTCCAGCCTCCAAGCACTACATATACATCCAAAATAGATATAAATAACAATCACAAGATGCCCGAAACTGGCCAAG